ATGTTCTTCCCTATGATTAATGAAGGAGAAATTTGAACTATATGCGGTTATTGCTTCCTCTTTTGTTTCTATGTTGTCAGGATGGGGACTTGTTATTAATGTTAATTTCTTTCTGTCTTCACCCTCCCGATATTAGGGCACCATTTTTAGAAAACATTGCTAAGCATTAGTGTGAGTTTAATATGAAATCTTTACTATTATGTCTTTTTAAGAAGTTATTGTCTGGTTTCAGTTGCATTAAGAGTTAAAAATGGATATTGATGTAAAGTAACTTGCTATTTCAATTTCTTATTAGCCAGAGAATCATTGGAGCAGTTAATGGTGCCCTAGTCCTTGGAATCATTGCCTCCTTCACAGCTCTTGTGGTAATTCCAATATTTGATTGACAAAATTCCTCATATAATTTTGGACACTTTTTTTTTTTTGGGAACATATGCAGAGTGAATGTTTTTGAGTACTATTGACTCTGTTACAATGTAGTATCTGTTCATAACTACTTTCTCAACCTACTGAAGCACAAAGAGTCAATATCGCCCCCACTGAGGCTCGAACACATGACCTCCCATATGGGAGAGCCGTGCCACTAGACCACAAGGTCATTGGCATAGTGAATGTTGTGAATGTTTTATTACATGTAAATCAAATCCAAAATTTTGCTTGTTATTAGTTATTACATACCAGATATTTACAAGAGGGTTCTTATAGATGAACAGTAATACATGAGACAATAGTTCATCTTTTATTAATTGATGCACAGAACATTCCCCCGATGGTATAGAGAGAAATTTGATTGGCTGTGATATCCCTTAGGTTGTTGCTAGTGGAGACTTGCACTGGGAGGCTCTTCTGAAAGCTAACTTTGAAGCTGCACCTCAAAGCATACCCATAATAGCGCTTTCCTTTGTTTATCAGGTGAGAAAGCTAAACTAAGGAAGTGGACATTTTGTTACAGTTTATCCCCGGCCCGTTTTCATGTGTAATCAATTACCTACTTGTTGGTTTCAGAATGTAGTCCCTGTTCTCTGTACGAATCTCGAAGGAGACCTGTCAAAAGTAAGGTGATAAATCCAATGATCACCTTTTCTCTTTGTTATGGAATTTGTAGCATTTTGCTGATTTTCTTTTCTCATAATCTGTTTATAAATTATACCCAGTATTAATTTAGAAATTATAATTGCCTTTGTCGGGAACATCACTTACTTTTATAGCCCTGCAGGAGTGCAATTATTCTGGGAACTGCTATCCCGCTTGCTCTCTTTCTTGTTTGGAACGGTGTTATTCTTGGAACAATTGGTGCTCCCGAAACAGGCTTGGACAAGATTGTTGACCCACTGCAGCAGTTGCGATCTGCAAATGGAGTTGGGGTCTGGAATTTGATTCACCATTGCTTAATATATTTTTCTTTGGCTTCTTGCTTTCTCGTCTTCTTGATTTTTATTTAATTATTTATGTTTTGAATTTGTTAGGCTTCGTGATTATATGCCATGATCACAGTCAAGTTTTTGGTAAATTTACGTAAAGATCACTAAAGTGGCTTCTTTTTGTTTGAATGTGATGATTTGCAGCCAATAGTTGATGTCTTCTCACTTTTTGCAATCGCTACTTCTTACATTGGATTTATCTTGGGCCTCTCGGACTTCCTTGCGGACTGTGAGTGCATTACTTCACTGATGACCTGCAATATTCATCATAGATCTACTAGTAACTTACTGCTTACTTGTCGGTTTACAGTGCTGAAACTCCCCTCGGGCCAAAACACACTGCCGTACCTGCTTACTGTGGTTCCTCCATTGATACTATCGTTGTTGGATCCAGAGATCTTCTTCAAGGCATTGGATTTTGCCGGGACATATGGAGGTAAGGGCATGCCTTATGTGAAGCACACTAAATCTTCTTGTTGAGTGGAGGCCGGTGAAGGGCTAAGTCCATCGATTGGTGGCTAGGGAGATTGTTGGGCGAAGGCAGGTGGGCCAAGTCCAACACCCTGCCTCTCGAAAATGTGATGGAAGTCTGTAAGGAAATAAAGTTGCGCCTTTGCTGTGAGCTATAGCTTTTGGCGTTGTAGTAAGTGTTTGATCCTAACAAGTGGTATCAGAACTGTGCAGTTAAGACTGGCAGGTGCTGGTCTGCTGGGATCCATCACTTGGTGGCTAGGGGGATCTGCCTCTCGAAAATGTGATGGCAGTCTATAAGGAAATAAAGTTGCGCCTTCGCTGTGAGCTATAGCTTTTGGTGTTGTAGTAAACGTTTGATCCTAACAAGTGGTATCAGAACTGTGCAGTTAAGACTGACATGTGGTAGTCTGCTGGGATCCATCAATTGGTGGCTAGGGGGATCTGCCTCTCGAAAATGTGATGGCGGTTTATTTCACAACGATAGCTTTTGGCGTAGTGGTAAGCGTTTGATCCTAACACTTCTCTAATTATTGTTTTATTGTTGTGGTTTTGTAGTTTTGGTACTGTTTGGACTCTTGCCTGCTGCAATGTCCTGGTCTGATAGATATGCAGAATCGTCGAAATCTCCGAGATTACCGTCTTTAGTTCCCTGGGGAAGGCTGACACTATCGCTCGTGCTTGGAGGTTCAGCGTTCGTCATCCTTTCCGAAATACTCGAGAACTTTGCTCATGCATGAATGGATGTGTGACCATCCATCTGCAACCCTCATTTCTTCACTTCTCAGTTCCCTACTGCACTGTTACAAAGTGAATTGGCAAATTGAAGAGTTGAAGAGATTGTTTAGGCTATATTTCATCAGATGCATATTTGAACTTGTTGCTGTAACAGAAAGGAGATTCAGATGTTATATTTGAAAACTGAATATCATCTTCTGAACAACAGAAATTCACCGATATCTGAAAGTGCGTTGTAGGTGAAATCTGTGTCTTGCGATCCTAGTCGGCAAAGGACAGCTCTTACCAAAAGTCAAACTTAGCCAATGGTTTGTTGGTCTATTATGAATCCTTGCATAGTTAGCATGATTTCAAATATACTCTTCATTGAATGAAGTGGCCTTGTGTATTTTGAAGCGTTGATACATTAAAATTTTCATTTTTATTTATATAATCAAAATCACCCGCATATAAATTTAGTTCATTCTTTGCAATCATATTGTGAATGATTATACATACTCTCATAATTTGTTAAAGTGTTTCCTTGCACCCCATGCAAATCATGCTTGGAGTACTCCAAATGCTCTTCTTTCCTTGCACTTTTTTTTTTCTTTTCTTTTTTTTTTTTGCAAATAATTTGCGTTTTACACTTTGAGGTAATGAGATTTACTTCACAAAGATTGTCCAACTTGGATATATTATATATGCCAAGCAATAACCCAAATTATAATGATTACTATTAACAAAGAAGTTTATTTGAGGTGCTTTACCTTCCATGGAGGACTTGGGAGCTGTCAACACATTGATATCGTTTAATGTACTTGTAAAATCGAAAAAAACATATCATACTCACAAATTTGCAAAAGCAATAGTTTCAAGTTATCGGGCTAGCCCATTAAATTTTAGGCTAGCCCTGTCGGGCATTGGGCTTATCAGTTTCGGGCTCATCGGACTAGTGTTTTTATTGAGCTATACCCCGTTCTAGCCATAACCCGGCAAATTATGTTGTGCATACGGATGCAAAAACGACGTCGTTTTATTAAAAACGCGCATCTCCCCTTAAAAAAAAATTCAGGTTCGATTCCCAGCAACAACATAAGAACTAAAATTTCAGAATCGATGAACTATAATTCCATAATCGATGAACTAAAATTTCAGAATCTAATCTATGAACTAAAAATTCCAGAATGAATGAACTAAAATTCCAAAATCTATGAACTAAAATTTCATAATCGATGAACTACAATTCCAGAATTGATGAACTATAATTCTAGAATCAATGAACTAAAATTCCATAATCTATGAACTAAAATTCCATAATCTATGAACTAAAATTTCAGAATGAATGAACAACATAATGCTGTTACTGGGAATCGAACCTGAATTTTTTTTTAAGGGGAGACGCGCGTTTTTAATAAAATGACATCGTTTTTGCATCCGTATGCACCATGCATGGTGCATACGGATGCACAGCATAACTACTCCCATAACCCTGTCAGTTTCGATTTTATCAGGCCAGCCCATCATGTTCGGACTAAGATTGACATCCCTAATTATAATCATTCATTGAGTTCCCCTTATTCATTGACATACAATGACTAATGAGATGTGTAAGAAAGAGTAATGGAATTGATAGAAGTAGCGTGATGATATATAACATTGATAGAGAATATTATTATTTTATCTAAAAAATTCTTGTAAGGAATATCATCATTTTGCTTAAAAAATTCTTGTAAAAAATATCATCATTTGACCTAATAAATTCACAAGAATCTATAAGCAAACATAATTTCTTTGTCAAAGAAATTCTTGTAGGAAACCTACAAGAATCTACCTATAAATATTGGATTGTTCATGCATATCCCTACAAGCATTTTACTATAAATAATAGATCATTCATGCATATCACTTCATTCATTCTTCAACTTCTCTTTCACAAAATGATACTAATAAAGTCAATCAAAACCCAAACCACCGATCAATCCATTGTCATTTCTTTTAATTATTATCAGTATTTATCCGGTATTGTAATCCTCATGTATGTCAAGCATTCTAAATTAAAAATATAAAGGAAAAATTATATCATTAAAAGAGAAAAAGGACAAAATGTTAAATAAGCAGTCAGACTATATATTTAAAAAAATCAATTACTCTTTCTTTCTTTTTTTTTGAAATAAAAATTACTCTTAATTTTTAAAAGAATCATATAAACACCCAAATTCAAAAAAAAAAGGACTCTTACATGACTTCCCCTAAAACATTTCTTTCTAAACAGATGCCAAATATCTTATTCATATGAAGCTTTTTTCAGATCAAGAATGAACTAAACTTTTCTAAATAATTTAAAGACTTTATTTGGTCCTTTTTAAGCTGAATGCAATTACACTGAAAGAGGAGAGAATGGGTACATCGCAATGCTACCATGAGAACCAAAGATGTAGAAGATGCAGCTGAGGAACTTCAAAGGTTGGGTCCCTACATACTTAAAAACAACACATTTCTAGTGACAACTCATTCTATCATTCGTTTAGAGACAAAAGTATACCACAGGTTTACAAACTCATTGTGAAGAGCAACTATTCTCAACAGTCATTTTCTAGCAAAAGCAGCATTCAAGAGCTAGTTATGCGCCGCAGGTAGACGCCACAATTGCATCTTTGGAGAAGGTTTGCGCTCCCTTTTATGCCAACTGCACCAATGAAACCATATTCGGTAAATTGAGATGCATAGGCAAAGAATGTTTACACTTTATGCAGAAAACATCTACAGTGACACTATCTACAGGTTGGAGAGTAGATATTTGATGTGAATGTGTAAAGACAGCTAAAACATCTAGAAACATAAGAAAATGACTGATGATGGAATAAGAGTAGCTGTCATGTGCTCCCTCATACCTGAAAATTGCTCACCAAACACATTCTACATGCAACCAGATTTATGCGGTTATATATGCTAAATTTCTTGTATTGTACATTCGTACTTGATCATTTAATCACACAACCAATTAAAAAAACACTGGTATGTATCATGTCATGGTTTAATGGCAAAAGGCCAAATGATGAGGGGTGGCCACTTCATATAATGATCCCAAATCACCAGGAATACCCATGGAAAATCTAGTTTGTATGGGACCTGAAACAAGCTGGAATTATAAGAGATTGTACCACGTCCCCATAAAAATTAAAGCAAGCTCAACAGATAGTTCTCACAAATATAAATGGAAGGAAAATGTGGCCATAAATCGGTTTTATAGAAATCAAACAGTGCATCAAGTGTGCTATTACAGACATCACACAGCATGTAAATACCATGGGTCTAGCACCACAGTCTTTGAATCCAATGACGCCTTTCAAACTACTTTGTTTCCCTGAATGTCATCGGGAAAATATAAGAAATTCAGTCTTCAGCTCTCGCTAAATACCTTTAGATACATTTTCTAGCTCAAAGATGGATATTCAGTGCTCCCCTTTTCAGATCAACCAGTAAAACATTTGCATATCAACAAAGGGGGGAAAGGGACCAAGACCGCTAACTCCTTTTTTTTTTTTCAAAAAAGTATTTAAATATTATTGCCACAATTTGTGGAATTCTACTATGGTTGTACCTGCATACTTATGCTATGAAGCTTTTGTTGCACCTTACTCCTTAATCTACAGCCATTGCTTCTGGAACTGCACCAGTATCCTCCACCCCATTCTTATGATCATCCATTGCTGCCCTCATCTCCTCAACCAAACTCCTTTGCTCTTCCTCGATTGTGTTTTGCAGCTCATCAACCTGAAGGAAAAATGGTTTAGCCATTATCAAAGCATAAATCTAATTATCAGAAGAAAGAAATTTCACCTACTGGATGGAGACATAAATAAAAGGATTTGTAGGCACTAATTTTATTGCTTTGAAGGGACATAAAAATAATTACTCAAACAAGAGAATAGTTTATTAGTTAAGAGTCTATCAAGAGTTGAAAATCTAATGGTTATTAAATTATTTCCTCTAAAATAATAACAATCAGAATTTCTAAGACATATATAAAGCTTGCTACTTAGAGTACATTCATCATGTATGGAACAATATGGAGTCAACAGAATCCTATCTTTGGTAAATAGTATTATGCAATACCAGATATGCTAATAGGACTCAGAAGCCCATAAATCTTGAACCTCTGTGAAATCCACAGAGTAATTCAACTTTGACCTCCCCACTTCTTAAAAACAACCAGAAAAAGGAACTACATAATTTTGCCTTTTCTCCTCTTATTTTTTATGGCAAAAAATTCCTACAATATTATTCTTATGATCATTTCAAGTGTTAGCTTGCTATATTTCTATTGGAAGGTGTACCAATAGTCATTTTCCCTTTACCCTAACAACTTCTGACGAGTAGTTTTCAGTTCTTGTGTAAGATAATTTATCAACAATCTTCCTAGTTCATTTCTAGCCACAGAATGGTTTATGGACAATGAATTAATCAAAACTTGTAAGCTGAAACTTTTAGAAGTTTTGAAAATTAGAATTGAAAATAACCCATTTAATAGAGGAAAGGAACAAGAGTGGCAAATCTTTTTATCAAACAAATGAATCACTTCTGACAAGTAATTTTCACTAGCAGCTTTATGTTTTCTAAATGGTTTTTTTCCTAGATCATTTCTAGTCATAGAATGGTGTATGAGCAATGAATAAATATAAAGTCGTAACCTAAAACCTTAGAAGTTTCTGAACAGTAAGATTTGATATCACCCATTTAATAGAGAAAAGCAATGACAAGAGTGTACTTTAGCCCTTATCTAATCACCCTTTGTTGGTCATCTTCGTGTAACTTCAACTATCAATGTCTACTTCAAGCACCAAAAGCACAATGTAAAACTAATGTAAATTCCATTTGCACTTGGTGATACATACCACATGTAACAAAAGAGCAAACTGCTTTTTGCGCAGCTCCAATGTTCTTGAACTAGCAGTGTTCTCTGCCTCTAAATTTGCAATCTCCTTCTCTAGATCTGTGATAACTTTTTGGGTTTCTGATCTGGGTGGCTGCATTGCGATCAACTTCCTAATTGCCTCACACTCCTCTTTGTGCTGCCTCTCTATCTTGCTCTCTTCAAGTTGTTTCTTCAGATCTTCTATATCAGCTTGGGCCTGTAAAATCTGCCTGTTAATTTCACTGTTCAGGTCATTGAAATTCTCCTTCTCCCTAACATTTGAATCAATGACTGCTTTGCTTTTTAGGAGTGGAATCTCGAAAGTGTTTAGCTCCTGCAAGAAAGCCTTGGAAAGTCTTTCACAGTCACCAAAGTTATCAGCTTCCTTCTCTACCTCCACAGCAAAAGCAGTGAACTTCTTTTGAAGTTTCTTTAGTGGCGGTTCACCCCTAGTGGTTGTTGTGCGAGTTAGAAGTCTGTGCTTTATGATCACATCATCTTCAAACTGGCCAAAAGCATAATGTGCAGCCACTGTCTCCCCCTTGCCAGCAACTTTCCTACCTTTGACCAGCATTTTATATTTATTTTTCTATCCTGCAAGAGAGCAACTGACTAGACATCAGGACGCATTACCACTTCAACCCTATCATTAGATGATCCCATGGAAGGTCAGCACATGCATACACCATTAATTTCAGAGACTAAATCTACATTCTACATTTGGTTAAAGAAATGTGTAAGGTATAAGGCAAAGATTATCCTAAAATAGCAAAAAGCAAACAGAACTTACAAACAAAATCCAAATTTGTTTGACTCCTGAACTCATAATGGATTACTAGGGGAAAAAAATCACTCGAACCTCAATTTTTACCTACAATAAGTGATTTTAAAATTAAAAATAAAATTGTATGCAGTTTTTCACTACAGAGAAAACAATTTTTAAGCACATCGAATACATTTTCCAGTAGCAAACCAAAACACGCACAAATGAAAACCTTTTTTAGGAAAGCATTTCACGTTTAAAAATCAGGTAGAAGTTTCCACATAATTACCACAGCTCTAAGTACAAAAGAGAAGTAATTTTGCTGTTTACGTGAACTAATTTAGTCAAAACACCAAGAGTGGAAGAGAAATTTATGAGAATCAGAAAGATAGAGATGTCACCTGCGGAGAAACGGAGACGCAAACAATGGAGGGGTGGTCGGAAAATGGTAGGGTTTCGGATCTGGCTGCCCGGTCAAAAAGGAGCTAAACCGTTAACACTGGTTCCACACTTCCACAAGGGACTTCTAACGAAAAATAGGATTTCCCAAATTCTTGCTTGGTTTGCTATAGGGATGTATGGTAGATGAATCCGGATTGGTTGGTAAAAAATAATTGAAATTGGATTGAATTTAATAATTTTACTAAAAAAAATGGAAATATTCATTTTATTATTTGGTTTGTGATTATAAATAATCCTTTATATAATAAAGCTATATGGTTTGGGAAATAATTAATGTTATAATTAATGTCACAACATCTTTTATTATTAAAAAAAAAAGCACAACATTTAAAAAATAAAATAGCTATATATTATATAATCATATAAAAAATATATTTTTGAAAAATAAAACAGTTATATATTATATAATCATATAAAAAATGTATTCAATTAGAGTTTAAATTTACACATACAAAATTTAAAATTTGCTTTCCAAATGTAATTATCTTAGTTATTATTCGTATTGTGAAAATTATAATATAGATGAAATACAATTAAAAACAAATCAATGTAATTATGTAAATTCTCTCTATAAGTTTATTTGAATATGCACATAATTAGAGATTATATTAACCATACAAAATTATAATTATAATTTTAATTGTAATTTTGTATTCTATAAAAATAATAAATACTTGACCTCAAAAATATTATTATATTAAATAATTTAAAATATTTTAGTTTTTCTATTTTTTATTTATATTTATAATAACATAATATTTTTCCCGTGCATCGCACGGGTGAATTACTAGTTAATATAACTACTCAAATGTAATATGTGAGAGTAATGTAAGATTTTATGTTGTAATTTTTCTTCAAAAATTGTAAAAATCAAAGGAAAAAGTGTCAAATTGACCCCCTAAGTCAAGTGGATAGTGCAATTGGGTCCCCTAAGTAAAAAAAGCTTCATTTAAGTCTTTTAAATCGGTAAAATTATTCAATTAAGTCCAAATTGACTTGTTTATCAGGTTAAATGCATACAGTGTTGACACGTGTTCTTATTTTATTTTATTTTTTGTTAAAAATATTATTTATTATAAATTAATTAAAATAATAATAATAATTAACAATTAAAAAAAAAAAGAATAGTCGTAGCCGGTAAGGAAGATAGTAACACCCTCTTTTTCTAAGAGCATCCTTATCAGTTGGAGATATTAGGGGGAGAATGTAAGAGTGAGTAGGAAAGAGAATAATGTGGGAGGAGAGGGGAAAGAAAATCAAAACTGATTTTATAATATATATATATATATATATATATATATATATATATATATATATATATATATATAAAATAAACATGTCATTTCTCTATTGGTTCTCTCTCCTCCATCATTAATTCTTTTTCTTGGTCAGAGTAATATCCAACATTTGCATATGCTCCCCACCCCTTCTCTCTCTTGATTCTCTCTCTGCCACCATGACATTTTGACCTCAAAAGTAGTGAATTCCCCTCTATTTTTTCTCTGATGTAGATGCTCTAAAATCTAAATCCCAAATAATTAAACTTAAACAAGGTATAAGCAAGGTTTAAATAACTAAAAGTCTTAAAACTATTCAAGAGATCACTAAGGGTGCTACTGTTGCAACCACCACTCACGATGATTGCACAGGCTACAAAAACAATTAACCAACTAGAGTCAAGCTCTACTAACATCATAAACTTGGGAAACAAACACTGGCGTCCACGCACCGCAAAAGATCAGTTTAAACATCAACTAACAACATCTTAACTAAGGTAGGAAACTACTCTAGCATCTACCACCTCGAACTACGCACTAACTACCACGTGGGCTCTCAAACACTGGGCCCACCTGAAAGGGGTTATAAAAACAAGTAGGAAAAATAAACCCGTTAGCAAATTAATACTAAGTATAAAACCACTCAACCCTATAAAGTACTATAGATATAGGTTTGGAAAACATTTGGCATTCACACGTAGTCTCAAGTATGAATATAACCATTTACAACACTTAGCCAACAACCTCAATAGATACTTATAAACAACTCTATATGCTTGCAACCTATACTTCATATAAGCATGATTTTCTCAAAATACACAACTTTATCACATTCTCATGCTATAAACAGATATCTATAAACATAGCTCATTATGCAATACTCAAACTCAAACTGATATAGATAAGAGATAACTGAAACTCAACAATCAAGATCATACTGTGGTGGAGGATAGGGAAGAGGTTATGGCGTGTTTGAGCGTAACGCAGGCGGAGAATTTTGGAAAGTACTTGAGACTCCTCTCTTTTATTGGAAGAAATAAGAAATGTGTACTTGAGTATATTGAAGAGAAAATAAAGCAAAGAATTGGGTCATGGAGTAAAAAATTGTTATCTCAGGTAGGTAAAGAAATTATATTGAAAACGGTAGCCTAATCAATGCCTAATTTTTCTATGAGTGTTTTCTTGCTAACAGAGTCTGTTTGCTTGGCTATACAAAGAATGATGAATATGTACTATTGGGGTAAGAGGGGCGCAGGGGGTGGAGGAATTCATTGGATGGCTTGGGACCGCCTTAGTAAGTCAAAAAACAGCTGGGGGATTGGGGATTAAGGATTTTAAGGCTTTCAATGTTGCAATGTTGGGGAAGCAGGCATGGCGTTTCCTTACTAAACCGGATTCACTTGCTGCCTGTGTGTACAAGGCAAAATACTATCCCAAAACTAATTTTCTAAATGCATGTATAGGAAATAACCCTAGTTATTGTTGGAGGAGTATTATGGCGGCTCACGAGTTAGTATGTGGTGGAATAAGGAGGAGAATTGGTGATGGTGAGACAACGTTGATTTGGGAACACCCTTGGTTACTGGATTTGGATTTCAAAATACAAACTATTATGCTCCCACAACTACATGGATCAAAAATGGCAGATTTGATTGATCAGGATACCCAAGCATGGGACATATCCATACTAAATGATATTTTTGATCCGCATGATGGGTTAATCGTATTTTTAGGGTCCCAGTTTGCCCAAATTATGAGGATACTTGGTATTGGTATAGGGAACCAAATGGAACCTATTCTATTAAGAGTGGGTATAGATGCCTAGTGGGAGAAATATCAAACAACACGGGTTTTGTTAAATGGTCAGCACTATGGAAATTGAATGTCCCACCTAGGTGGAAGACCTTTTTATGGAGAGCAATTAGCAATATATTGCCTACCACTACTACTCTCCGTGAAAAAAGGGTTGATGTGAATCCGGCTTGTCATATGTGTGGTATTTTTAATGAGGATGTCATGCATTCTTTAATTGATTGTGAATATGCCCGTCATGTGTGGAATGAATCCTGTTTATCTGTCTCTTGTGTGCACGATGGTTTTTTTGCAGAATGGTTCCAGAATGATATGTCTATGTTAACAATGGATATACTTGTTCGAGTGATTGTAGTCCTATACCAGATTTGGAGCGTAAGGAACATCGCCGCTTGGGAGGTTTGCGTGTGGACGCCGAGGAAAACCTGGAGGTGTGTTGCTGCCACCGTGTCTGCATGGTTAGAGGCCGGCCAGCACGTAACCAGCGCTTCGCAGCAGCAACAGGAGCATTAGTCGTTACCTGGGTTGCGTTGCTACGTCAATGCGGCATTGGACCCTGATTCTAGGATGGCAGCCCATGGCGTGGTTCTTCTAGGCGAGGATGGTGGCTTTGTGGCAGCAGTAAATGGCAGACCCCCATACTGTGAAAACTCACTCACGATTGAGACACTTGCTTACAAAAAAGTATTAACTTGGCTTAAAAATTGACAAGTCACGGATGTCACTTTCTACACGGGTTGTTTGACGCTACAGAATTATATTACTAAAGAGTCTACTCAACCAAGAGCACATGTTGGTGTTGTTATTCAAGATTGCAAGGCTATTATGTCGTTTTTTTTTTTTTTTTTTTTTTTTTTTTTTTTTTTTTTTTCTTTTTTACTTCTTGTGCTTTAGTTTCGATCTCTAGACGATTTAATGTTATTGCACATTTATTAGCATCGCGGGTCTGACCACAGTGATACAATGTACTGGGACGCTGACCCTCCTGATTTTATTCTCATGCAGTTGCAGTAATAATACTTCGATTGTTTGGTTAAAAAAAAAAGGCCCTTAAATTTTACACTAAAAATCAATTAGACACCTAAACTTTAAAAAAATGTAATTAACTCCTCAAACATATTAAATTGAGTTCATAAAGCTCAAAAATAGATAAACGACCTCTTATTTCAGGTCATTTTGAGGGTGTATTTGACCATTTTTCAAAATTTATTTTATGCATGATAAAGATTACGAGTAGTGTTTTATCTTTATGAATGTTAATTTTTTTTTTAAATATATTAATCGTTGTATATAAAAGAGTAAATACTCAAAATGGTCCATCGACTATAGCTAAATTCACAATTTGGTCATCGACTTTCAATTTCAACCAATTAAGTCCTTAACTTTGTAATTTAAACACAATTTGGTCCTCTGTCTATTTGACCGTTTGTTGACTGTGATTTTTGAGGATATATATGTAATTTCATGGTCCATCGTCGGTTTTTTAAGGTTCCGGTTGCATTTCCAGACCGCACTGTTACATTCAAATCCACTGCCGAAAGCGATCTACCAAATCCGGCCGCCTTTCTTCATCCTCCATTTAGATTCAATGTAGTTGAGTTCGTACCTGAGCGAAGAAGGCGACGTGTTTCTGAACCGGTGCAACGTCATCCTGGAGGCCTCCACGTGCTCCGACGAGAGCTGAGGTTCTTCTGGAGATCGTCGATCACGGTCAACAAACGGTCAAATAGATGGATGATCAAATCATGTCAAAATTACAAAGTTAAAGACTTAATTGGTTGAAATTAAAAGTCGATGACCAATTTGTGAATTTAGCTATAGTCGAGGGACCATTTTGAGTATTTACTCCATATAAACTTGGTAAAAAGTTGAGGAATGAGTAAAACACGTGCGTGAGTAATATGTAAGCAGAAACCTTAATTTAGATAGTATATAAAGGTTCAATCGTACTTGTTTCCCCTCTTTTCTAGTCTTTTCGTTCTCCGAAACCCTAATCGGAAAACCCTACCCTTTTCTGCGCCGCCATGGCCAAGAAGCGGAAGAGCCGAGCTTCATACCAGCCCGAAATCGAACCAGAACCAACCCCAATTCAAGAGCCGGAGCAGCCCCAACCCGACCCTGAGCCCCAACTGGAAGCACCCAATGAAGAACCAGAACAAGAGGTAGAAGAAGTAGAAGAAGAAGTGGAAGAGGAAGAGGAAGAGGAAGTCGAAGAAGCGGATCCCGAAGAAGAGGGAGAGGAAGAGGAAGAGGAAGAGGAAGAGGGCGAAGAAGAGGAGAAGCCGGAAAGTATGGAAGCAGATGTTTCGAAAAGCGATGCGGAGCTTGTGAAAGAAAACCCGTCAAACGATGCCGTTTCAACTGGAAAAGCTAACGGCGAGGGGAAGAAGGCTGAGGGGATTGAGGAATTCGACGATGAGCCACTCGAGAAGGTTCTGGAACCATTCTCGAAGGACCAGCTTAAAGTCATAATTCAAGAGGCCGTGACCAAACACCCAGATTTCATGGAAAATATTAGGAAATGGGCCGATAAAGATCCAGCACACCGGAAAATTTTCGTGCACGGTCTTGGTTGGGATACAACAACTGAAACCCTAACCAATGTCTTTGGGAAATATGGGGAGATTGAGGATTGCAAGGCCGTTACCGATAAGGTCTCAGGGAAATCTAAAGGTTACGCCTTTATACTTTTCAAGCACTGGAGTGGAGCCAGGAAGGCTTTGAAAGAGCCCCAGAAGAAGATTGGGAGTCGGATTACCTCATGCCAGCTGGCTTCAGCTGGGCCTGTGCCGGCCCCTCCTCCAATCGCCTCACCTGTTTCAGAGTATACCCAGAGGAAGATTTTTATTAGCAATGTTTCAGCAGACTTGGACCCCAAGAAGTTGTTTGAGTTCTTTTCCAAATATGGTGAGATTGAGGAAGGACCTCTGGGATTGGACAAGTATACAGGGAAACCAAAAGGTTTCTGTTTGTTTGTGTACAGGTCTGTTGAGGGTGCAAAGAAGGCGCTGGAGGAGCCTCATAAGATTTTTGAGGGGCATACACTGAATTGCCAGAAGGCAATTGATGGGCCAAAGCAGCATAAGAATTATTCACAGCAGCAACAACAGCAGCCACATTATCCCCAACATCAGCATCAGCAACAGCAGTATTATCAGCACACAGCTAAGAAGGGGAAATATTCTTCTGGTGGTGGAAGTGGAGCTACTTCAGCAGGACATTTGATGGCTCCAGCTGCAGGGCCTGGAGCTGTTGGGTTCAATCCAGCTGTGGCCCCTGTTCTTGGACAGGCACTCACTGCATTGCTTACAACACAAGGAGCTGGACTAGGGATTGGTAATCTACTTGGAGGACTTCCTGTGAATCCTCATGGGGTTCCACCTGTGGTGAACAATGCACCGGGATATGGGGCTCAGAGTGCTGCAGGAGGCTATGCAGGTCATCCAGGAATGCAGGGAGGATATCAGAACCCAGCTATGGGGCAGGGAGGAGTGAGGCCGCAAGGTGGTGCCCATTGGCGTGGTCATTAGGCCTGGCAGAAGGTATATCACTATTTGGTGCTTTATTGGTAATTTGCTTCTGCAATTAAATTACCTGGTTATCATGTGCATTATTTTGGTTTTTTGAGCCTACAATAATACAAATAGGGACCATTTAATGCCTTCAACAGTCAACCATTCTTAAAAATTAAAATCATAAAAAAGAATGCATTAGATATGCTTTGTAGAAAAGGATGATGGAGCTCAAAACTAACTTTATGAACTTTTAGATGCATTTTGCTGTTCCTATCAGAAAAAGTTAAATGTATACTTGCTTGAACTTGTTTGGAAAAATAAAACAATAAGTTTACTTTTTTGAATAGTTAGATTGTTTTGAACTTGATATGTGTTATTTTTTGGAAGCCACTGACCTTACGAATTATGATGTTTTAAAAGATTTAGGATTTTTATTAGAATAGAGACTATGCAAAGAAATGTAAGAGTGAAATTGAACGGCCTAGCTAGGACATTATGAAGCTAGGAGCCTATGATACATTGATACTTTAAACAAAGAAAATGAGAAAACTGTGAATTTGTTTTAAAGCCTTTTATGCTTGGAAGTACCTTTACTTGAATGGTGTAAGATGTAAAACAATGAAACAGTGGTCAAAATCTTCTATCAAGGTGACTAGTAGAACTCCATCTAAAACTGGGCAGCCCAAAGATGACAACTCTAGCACCTATGAGACCAGTATATGGGGTAGAGAAGGAGAAACAATCTGCTTTATCTTATGATGTTAGATAATTAAAGAGAGAATGATAATACTCAAGGTGAAGCATATGAGAACTAGAGTAGTATTATGCATCCACTTGATGTCAGTGAAACATTTGAATATTAACAGCAAAGGACATAGCGTACAGGTCTCCGATCCTTTCTAATTATCAATTTATTACAGATTATGTTAACATGGTAAACCGCTTTAAGCTACCAGGCCGACTTCAGAAGCTCAATGAGATTAAAAACATGGTGCTATACTGCTATGGATTACTTTATATCTAGACGGAACTTGGAAAGGTTGTGCCCAAAACTAGTTTTCATTCCTTTTGGAGTCGAATAGATGTAATATTGCTTAATGCTTAATGGATTGGAAGGAGGTCATTGTCCTGAAGAAGTTGAAACACAATATGTTCCTTAGGGATGAAAGTTTTCCATTTAGCTTACATAGTAACATATACTTGTTTTTAAAAGTTTTCTATTGGAATTTGTAGTAATCTCTCCACTAGCTTTTGTATGCATTTAGAAGTTTGCTTGTCATAAAACATTGTTTGATATCTGTCTGGAAGCTTTAATTGATACTTGCATCTTGGATCTCATGGCTTCAGTTTTTTCCAACTGACCATGCTGCCATGGAATGCCCTACTAAGGTCAGTGAATTGTTTGAAGTCACTTTATTATCTCAGAGAGCGATAACTTACCTTGGATTTATGAAGTTAGACTATTTTGTCATCCCCCCATTTGAATATACTTGAGTGATAATAATTGCTAGATTTTTCTCTAAAATGACTTTCTAATATTTTCATGTTGCCATGGAACTTTTGGGTGCAGTTACTTTCACATTCATTTCTTCTTAACATTTTACACAAATTCTTTTGCACACAAAGGTTTTTATGCTTTACCTATTCAATGTGCAGATTCCTTCATAAATGCATCAATCTTTTTGTTTTGGACTGGTGATTCTTCTGAAGTTCCAGAATCAAATGCAAATGTCGTATTTTTATTGTAGCAAAAAGTTACTGTTTGTTTAAAGACTGGAATCTTGAATATGTATCTTTCTGTTTTCTTCAAACACTTTCGATCTAGCAGTTGTTTTCTAAAACTATGGCAATGACTATGGTCTATGTAGCACATTTTGATTTCAGTACGTTTCTGTCTAAAATGATCTGAGAAGCTGGTAGGTTTTCCTTATCAATGTCTCTCAGGAAATTTACTTTGGTGGTTTTGCAATCGTTTTCAACATGAAGCTATTAATATTTCTTTTTAATTTTTATGGGGCCTTTTTACTGTCACAAAAATTATTATAATGTGAATTTGCTTGTGTGAAGTGCTTTGTATTTGATTACTCTCATCAGTGTCTTACTGCCCTACCCCTTCACATGCACACACAAGGATTACTACAAGGAAGAGTTTTGAACAGTAAATAGTGAGCATTACAGGAAAGGTTTAAATGTATCTGCATTTTTGCTGATAATTTTTGTGGCTGGATTATGATCTAACTTATTTCACTGGCTATCTTCTAACAGCTGATATTGCAGGTGACTTTGCTGTCTTCTTTTCCTCTTCGTTCTATAAGTGCCACATCATCTAAAATTTTCAATGCTTAATTCTTGAACTTGGTTTAACATTTTCCATCTAAAGCTATTTCAAATAAAAAGGCTACGCTTTCTTACAAACAAAATTTTAAGTGACTTGAGAAGTTTATGCAAAAAAGACTCTTGCCATCTTCTATTGCTCATTCTACGAGTTCTACATCTTTTTAAATCTTTTTTCGGCTTGAGAACAATATCGATGTGATTGTTTAACTTGGTTTCACCTTTTTCCATCAATAGCTATTAAAAATTAAAATAGTTCTACTTCCAAGCAAATTTAAAGGAGCATTGATAGTTTCTCACTTTCTGCAAAAAAGACTTTGCCATTGGCAGATATTCTATTGGGTTGTTAACAGAATCTTCTTCTGATTCTTCATATTTTTTCAAACCGAGTCTTGTACTCGTGCCACTCATCTTTGTGATACATTCCTTTTTGCATCTTTCTTCGCAATTATTTTCTTCCCCATTCCAGCTGATTCGCATGGATAGTCTCCATTCTGCCTTAATCCCTCTTTATGCTAGTGTTCATGAAGTGGAGGAATCTGAGCGACAAGTAGACACCATGGCGGACATGTAAGCTCATGAGTTTTGCACCCAGTGAGTGGCTAACTTTTCTTCCTGGCATTGCAATGTCGTGCCATCTGTCAAATGGAATCTCACATTTGCATGACTGACAGCAGATATATCTTCTTTGGTCGATTAAATTACAGCCTAGTGCCTGTTCACATGTATTATCGTAACTGGTTGAGTTTTAGTGAATTGGCCTTTTTTTGTTCTGTTTAAAGTTTGGAAACTGTGTTTGGCACATTCTCCTCTCATGATGGTTCTTTGGGGATTGTCTTAAACTTGTTTTGTTTTGCATTGGTTCAAGACTTGAACCCTGCCTTAATCTGATCCAGGACTTCCTACTGGTTTTTGTTAATCAAGCATAGATGCTTGTGAATATCAGTTAGGTTTTATGAATTTATGGACTGACTTGATTCTGTGCAATCTGGAAGCAAAATGAGGTGGAAATATTAGACAACTAAGATACCAGGGTTCACAATTAGTCATAATGTCATCTCAAGTAGTAAAATAAAGACTCAATACTATTTTCGTAAATGAGTTAATGCCATATGTGGTCCTTCGAGTATAGTTGTTTTGTCACGTGTATTTTTAAACTTTTATATTGATTATCAGTGGTTCTTTGACTTTTAAATTGTTACCATTCATGGTTTAAACCACTTATGGTCTTTCAATTTTTAAAATTTAATTAGTTGTGGTCCTCTTGGAAGGAACATGGGTGATTAAAATTTGATAGTTGAGTGGTTAACTTAGACCATGGAAGGATCACATGTGAAAACTATTATATTCGGAGGACCCTAGATGGTATTAACTCTTTTGTAAATTTAGGGACATTCTTGTCTTTTCATAGGTTATGGTAAGAATTGTGCCACTCGCTCGGTCTTGTTTTGTCTCAGGGATGTTGATTTCTAATGCTCCACAAGCTTGGTAAGATTTGGGGTTTGGCTTGGTCAATGACCTTGTGGTCTAGTGGTATCAAGTTGCTCTCCTATATACGAGATTGTGGGTTTAAGTCTTAGTGGAGGTGATATTGACTTTTTGTGCTTTAGTTGGTTAAGAAAATAGTTATGAACATATACTGCATTGTAATAGTATTATTCACAAAAAAAAAATGGTTATTTTTCCCAATTAAGATGAATTTGGGACTTATGATTAAGTTAGAAGAGATTCATACTTAATCATCCACACCTTTATAGGTTCATGAACTAGGCTTTACATGGTATAGCTAAAATAACAAATTCATTAATGTTCAACATAAAAATGCTTGTTCAACCATGAATAGTGTTCAGGCTTGTCCATTTCTGGAAATACTATGCCGATGATGGCTAGCTTGTAATGAATCAACGTTACATCGTGTTCCCATCGTTATTAGTACTCTTGGAATTATGATTTGAGCTATGTAATGTTGTTGGTGGAAAACAAATTCGAATCACTTGCTTGTCATTAAAATATTATTATGTTTGGATTTGATAAGTCTGGTTGGCATCAAATAGTTGTTTGCAGTTTGTTCAATGATTCGGTTTTATGCGACTTTCAAGACACTTTCATAAAAAGGCTTGTATCCACCTTCTAACTCACCCTCTCTATCTCTTCCATCAAACCAAAAATCTCTCAAAAATCTTAGTTGGTGTTGCTTTTAGTCACATTATAGACTTGTGCTTTTCTCTAAAACTCTTGCTGCTTGTAACGTCATTATGACGTCAACACAAAGGTCTTGTTGTATTGGAACTCCTCTTTGAATCCCAACACATCGAATTTGCAATTATCAACAACTTAAATTCTAGACTATAAAACTAAATTTTCAAAGGTCTAAAATGTCTTATATTACATTTTGATGCAGTATCTGGAGTCAATAGCGCTTTCACTAAAGCTCAAATCCACAGATTTTTGGATTTCTGCAACATTGCTTCTATGATCTTAGGAGCACTGGCCACCATGGTCCAAACGAAAGTCAAAAGACTCTAGCTCATAGTTCAATTGGACATGTAGGTTATATTCGTACTGGTTTCTGATGTTGAAACATAGAAGGAATTCAATCACTACTAATTGGTGTCTTTTTTTATGCATCAATGACGATAGATGCATTCGCCGCACAAACCCTTTAATCCAAAGCGCTACAAAATCATTTAAGGCAGTTTCAAGACTTTTGTAGCACATTTGAAATTTTAGTTAAATTTTTAATGGTTTTTAAAATCGAGGATAGTCTATTCAACCCCTTCACCTTCTCATTTTAGACTTTTTCATTGTCTTGAAACCAACAAATATGAATTTAAAATAAGGAATTACAAAAGTTAAACATTTCGATCAGATCATCTGTGTTGGGTGGAAGCATGGATGACCAAGTATATCATATGAGATATGACAATATGAGATTGGTGAATGACTTGAGCAGGCAAGGCCTACATCCTTGGTATCTTAGTTGTCTAATATTTGCTCCTGCCTAATTTAGCTAAGTTGGTCTGATAATTGACTTGATAATCGATCACAAGTTTTTGAGTTCAACTTCATATGAAAACGGTTTATTGATCTGATTTTCTTAGTTTGAGTCAGTCAACTATTGACAACTTAGACTGTTTTATAGCTTTGTGATTATTTACTAGCTAAGGTCACAAGAGTGCATTTTTGGATAACGACTGCGGACTTTGCTATGAATCAAAGAAAACATCTAATTGAATTTTCTAGAAGTATACTTTCGTTACGGGGGCATTGTTGATTGAGTAGAAGAAAAAGAAAAAAAAACCTAAGAAAATTTTGTCAGCAGAGATGTGGATAAAAATGACAAAAAAGAACAAACAATTCCACACCGACCTAAGAATTCAATTCATGTATTACATGTGGTTTTGGCCATTTATTACTAATTGTGTATCGAAAGGAAATGCGTTTTCATTATTTTCTGTTGTGATCATTTTTGTCAACTAGACTGTGACTAATATTTGAAGGAAATATGAATTGAAATTTGAGAGAAATTAAGGTCATTATTTCAATCAAGAATAACTCATTTCTATCCATCAAATTATTAAAAGTGGCTTTAAGCTAAGTTTTATTCACTTATAAGTTGTGTGAGTGAGATTTTATCAGGAAAGGGCAAATGTATTTTTTTAAAAAAAGAATATGAAAGAAAAGAAAAGTTGGGTGATAATTTTGTTGGGTGGAAGCTTAGAGAATTAAGTCATACATTCTATCATCGAAATATGCGGCTGACTGCTACGCAAGTATAAATGATTATATTTTTTGACGTAGTAGTAAGCGATTGATCATAATAAATTTTTATAATCATTATACACCAGTAGTGAAAATAATACTAAATTTATGGGTAGGATTGGGATTCAACCTTTTGAAGAATACTAAATTTATGGGAATAAAAGTGACAACAACTTTTCTATTTTTAAAAAATTTATAGACAATAATCATACATTAATACATTAAAGAAACAAGTATTGTTTGCAACTAAGATGGCAAAAGAAAAACTTAAGCACAAAGAATCAGGAAGAGACACAACAATTAAATTCAAAACCCATAAAATCGAAGTTATTGTATAATTAACATCCCTAAAATATCCCCAACACACTAATCCTACCCCAAATTCGTGCACAAAATTGGGGAATTAAATTATTATAATTTTTTTTTATTTTAAATGATTGATCTTCGAAATTTTATTGGCACAGATTTGTCTACAGAGACTCATGGGAGTAGTAGACTCGATCATATGATCATGAGTTATATATATATATATATATATATATATATATATATATACACGATTAAATCTATTAGATCAATATTTTAAATTTATTTACAAAATTTTATTTGGGCATGGTACTCACCTGATTAAGGACCTGTGTGTAACCCTCTAACATTATCTATATCCCAACAAAATATTTTCACCCTCTGACCATTTTAGACGTGGAATAAATTTTTTAAAAAGTTATCGATATCATCTATATATATATTAATTTTTTTTGTAATACCAATGTTGCCAACTCCAATCCATAATCGTCAATAATCTTGAGCTCTGCCACCAAAACCTCCTCCGATCCGCCGCCGCATGCACCGTCCGGCGAGATGAAGGATGATCTTCCGAAGAAGAGTTTCAATTGCTGCTGCGTTTTGCTCCTCTTCTTCTCTACCCTCTTCTGCATCTCCCTTTGCGTCGCCATGTCTGCCCAGATCTCGCTCACCCAACCCCGCTTCTTCCTCCGACACGCCACACTCCACAACTTCAACCTCACCGCCGGCAACCTCCTCACCACCAACATCTCCGTCGCCCTCGCCGCCCACATCCCCTACAGACACCGCGGCATCTACTACGACCGCCTCCACGTCTACGCCGTGTACCGGAACCAGACAGTCACCCTCCCCGCTCCCCTCCCTGCGTCCTACCAAGGCTACAAAGACGTCGCCGTTTGGTCGGCGTTCCTGAGTGGAAACTCCGTCCCGGTGGAGCCCGGCGTCGGAATGGCCGGAAGAGTGTTGGTGAACATCATAGTTGATGGTTGGATTAGAAAGCATTTTTGGAATTTAGAGGTGGGTCCGTGTCGTTTGTCTGCAAATTGCCCTGCATTTTTGGATTTTGGGTCGACAAGTATCTCGTCTTCTCCGGTGCAAAGCTGCCATGTTGAGGTTCATGATTATTAGTTTTCTGGTATGGGTATGGTTTCTACAATAATGGAGCTAGCTAGGAAAAGGTCCAAGACTCCAAGCAAGTTTCCTCATTATTTTTAAAACCGCAATATTTGGTAGCATGGTTAGCTTATTAGTCAATTTTAACTTATTTAATCACTATTAACTGTTTGACTTGGTTAAACATTCAATATAAGTATTTAATTAATTAGCTTTTTGTAACAGTTTATTGTTTTAAAATGTTAAAATAAAAAAAATGCTCAAAACATCTTTGATAAAGTGAGTATTTGTTTTGATTTTATTTATTTATTTATTTATATTTTGGATAATTATTACTCCATCTGTCTCATTTTATTGGTCTGGTTCGATATGATTAACGAGGTTTGACTGAAGTTATTTTTTAATTAAAAATTTCATAATGTTAAGTGTAGTATTAGTATATAAAATGTATATATTTAGAAACTAAATTAAAAGTATTATTAAACTCAAATTTTCAAATTTAAAAATAATTAAAATATATTAAAGAAAATAAGTAAATCAAGAAATAGTTGGTTTAATCGATGAATAGTAAACAAGACAGGTAAAATGTGATTGATGGGGGTATTTTTAAATTTGATGTGAAAGTTAGACAACTTTTAATTTGAAATTGATAGTATTACATGGTGGTAGAAAATATAAAGAAGGAATGAGAGAACATGGTATATTTTTTGAAGTGATAGAGTTTTGTAAAGATTAAAAAAAAAGGCTTAAATTGAGGTTCAAATATTTACTAGCAAACAAATAATATAATGTTTTGGACAGATTGCACTATACATATGGAGGGTTGATGTGTAACAAACTAAGGTACGTACGTCACGTCGGTAAATTATTCTGTATACAATTTTATAAAAGGTAAATTTTGAACATTTAGTATGTAAATTATGAACATTAAGTATGTAAACTAGAAAAATTATAATAAGCTAGCTAGCTTATCTTGCTCTGACCACATATCTATCTGTGAATTCATTTATTGATCATATTTGAATAAAAAGTATATAGTGAGGTCAAAATCCCTTAAACCAGCACGCATGCATGCATATCGCTACATTCAAAGTTGATTCATTAATGAATAGTGGTGAACACTCCACGTGAAGACACTAAATGGCTTAACAGCATTATATGCTGAATGCTGACAATATATATATATATATATATATATATATATATATATATATATATATATATTGGTTTATGTGAGAAGTGAGAACATGTTTCTCATGCGGTCAGTGCGGCATACACAATTAGGTATCTATAAATGCACCTATAGTGTTCGAAAATACACCAGAATGAAATGTTAAAAAATGCACCACGCAAAAAAAATACACCACACATAATGGTGTATTTTCAAACACTGTGTAGTACATTTATGCATACTTAATAGTGTATGCCGCACTGACCTCACGGGAAGACCTGTTCTCATAGGAACCTGACCCTATATATTGTTGGGTAATATGGTTGAAAATTTCCAAAAATAATAATCCTACGAAAAGATTAATATTATATGGGAAAGCAGAAAGAATTGGGAAGGAAAAGGTTGAGTGTTTGGGTAGGGATTTAGCACGAGTTCGAACACGAAGTTCTTTTCCTTAAAACCTTATTTGCTACCTCCCACAAGTGCTAGGAGCGTTGTAGCCTAGGTTTCCCAGGATAAAACGTGTTGCGATTCCTTGTTTAAGCACCTAAACAAGGAACCCGGCAAACAAAGCAAAGCTGGAACACAGATTGGCTAAAGAAGAGAGTAGAAGCAGAAGTTTTGAGATGAAAAGTTACTGGAATTCCTTTGTTTCTCACTGTGTGTAAAAAGCTACTGTTTAAAATTGGAATTAAAATAGTATTAATTCCGTTTTGGAGGGGCGGTTGATTCAAAGGTATTTCGTGCACTGAGTAAAAAAGTAAAAATAAAAAAACAAAAAAATAAAGCAAAACTAAACAATCTTCTTCACTACGTCATCTTCTCCCACTCGATCAGTTTCTCCCACTCGATCAGTCACCATTATTGCATGCTCTACACTTTTGTAATTTTCATTGACAAAAATTTAAAAATCTCTTGGGTTTGTCACAAGCAAAAGACCGTGGCTAAATCCTCAACAAAAACATAATACAAAGGTATAGCAAATGTCTCAATAGAAATAACATGGTTAGTTGCTCTCATTCGTGAATTTGGACGTACTCACAATACATACGTAGCAAAACCACATTGATTCTGGAGTGACAATCTTGGTGCAGTGCTACGTATCTATGTGCAAATCATATTTCTCATGTCCAAATTAACACTTGTAGAAATAGACTACTATTTTGTTTGTGACAAATTAAAGTAGCATATCAAATGAGCTACAAGTGAACTACATCTCTACAAAGAACCAACTTGCAAACATCTTTACCAAACTACTCACCACCGGTAGATTCAATATTCTAAGGGACAACCTTAAGTTTGAGGGACATATTAGGATTTTGTATTAAGAGTCATACCTCATCTCTATATATTATTGTATTGTAAACTCTACGTTTTATCCATCATGCTTCAGTTAGAACTATCACATACTTCTATAAATACGTATTTTCATATACTTTGTAAATATGATTGATCAACAAAAAAAATTCTGTATAAAATTGAAATTCTTGTTTTTATCATGGCAGTTTTGCGGCACCAAATATTTCTCGGACATGAAAATTTGCAAAAAGAACAACACGGCCCCATCTCTAAATCCCAAAAAATCTCACTCTATTTCTTAAGTTAATTTAGTAAAGTTGAAACTTGAAGTCGAATTTTCTTCAAGTTGGGGAGAATGAAGAGGGACAAAACATTCTTGAAGGATTCAATTATGTATTTATGGGAATAAGGGTCAAATAGGCCATCGAACTGCACTCAATAATGCAATTAGGCCACCGAACTTCAAAAAGCTACAATTGGGTCCCTGAACTAACAAATTCTATTCAATTAGTCTAATTTGTAGGTTTCCAAGTTGTTAGCAGGTTACCTCTTTTCAAAAAAAAAATTAATTATTATTTAAAATAATTATTTAATATTAATAATTAAAATTAAAAAAAAAAAAAAAAAAAAAAAAAAACAGAGATTGACACGCCGGAGACGAAGAAGGTTTCTTCGTCTCCGGCCATGGAGACGGAGAAATCTTCTTCGTCTCTGGCTGGAGACGAAGATATTCTTCGTCTCCAGCCAGAGACGAAGAATATCTTCGTCTCCATGGCCGGAGACGAAGAATATCTTCGTCTCCATGGCCGGAGACGAAGAGACTCTTCGTCTCCGGCCATGGAGACGAAGAGTTTCTTCGTCTCCGGCAATGGAGACGGAGTTAACTTCTTCGTCTCTGGCCGGAGACGAAGGAACCTTCTTCGTCTCCGGCCAGAGACGAAGAAATTAACTCCGTCTCCATGGCCGGAGACGAAGAAGGTTTCTTCGTCTCCGGCAGACGGTATCTTTTTTTTTTTTTTTTTTTTTTTTAATTTTAAATAAGTATTTTAAATAATAATTTTTTAAAAATATTATAAATTAGGGGTGACCTGCTAATAACCTCCAAAACCTACAAATTGGACTAATTGAATAGAATTAGTTAGTTCAGGGAGCTAATTGTTGCTTTTTAAAGTTCGATGGCCTAATTGCATTATTAGGTGCAGTTCGATGGCCTATTTGACCCTTATTCCTGTATTTATGTATGTGTCATATATCCAATTAAATTTTCGTTAAAAACAAATAATGATAGATGTATATTCATAGAGCAAATACCAATTTTAGTCCCATGAGTATTAGGAAAATGACAATTTTAGTCCAAATGTTTAGTTACTACCAAAATTCATCCCACAACTATTATTTTATTACCAAAGTTAATCACTCCGGTCACTGGAGATGTTAAAACACACCGGAATTTTAAAAGAATAAGGGTATTATTGTCTTTTTCTCATTCTCCTCATTTTTCTATAATTAAAAACCCAAATAATATCCCTAAAATCCCAATTCGATCAGTGTGACCTAATCCTTTTTCTCCTTTGTTTTTTCCTTGTTCACCGATCACTTCACCCAGGCATCGCTTACCTCTGAAGAGAGCATTCAGATGGCCATCGAATCAGAGTTCAACCCTGTAACAACAATCGGAGCTCTTAATTGTCCAAAGGTATAATCCTCATGAAACCATATTTGTCATCTCTATCCCGATTCAATCATCTTTGTCAAAGTATTGAGACTAAATCCTTTCTGGGATCAGGGTCTAAGAAGATATTCATTTTTTATGCTTGGTTTGGAAATTAATAATTTTGATGATTTTTTTTTTTTTTTTTGCAATATTCTGTGTATGAAAAACGCAAGGCATTAGATTGTCATGTTAATAATTTTGATGTTAGGTGTTGGTGATAATGAACCACAATCGATTTAATATCCCAAAAATAATATTTATATATACACACACTAGTATATAAAATATTATTGGATATTTATCCGAAATATATATATACACACAAATATATATAAAACGGATCCAAAGGTAATATATACATGTATATCTACGAAAAAGATACACCAATATATATCAACCAAAATTGAAACTAATAATCCTCAGATTATGAGTCCAATCGAAATAATATATCAAAAGCATAATCCAAACAAGAAAGAAGGAGAAGGAAGAAAGAAATGTACGAGTTAGGCGAGTGCCTTTCTTTCCTTAAAACCTTATTTGCCACCTCCCAAAAGTGCTAGGAGCGTTGTGGCCTAGGTCTCCCAAGATAAAACGTACAACGGTTCGACGTTTGAGCACCCAAACGAACGAACCCGGCGAACAAGAGCGCGGGCAAAACACAGCTTCAAGAATGGAGTAGAAGCAGAAGTATTTTGAGGCTTGGAAAAATTATTTTCTTGTGTGTTGAAAATGCTACTACTCAACTCCTTCTTATATAGGGAATGAGGAATGAATAGCCTTTATTATGCCATTTAGAGGCATCCCTACAACTTTTGTAACAGCAACCATTAACATGGGTGTTAATTCAAAAATTAAATTGGAATTAATTCAAAAATTAATCCCATAACAGCTGAATTAAATCCCAACAGTCACAAACAAAAGCTTTAAGCCAGAGATTTGATTTGCACCCCCTGCGCGCAAAAGAGAGCCTCTATGCTATACAATTCAATAAGCTTAAAAAGAGCTCATGTATAAATAGTGGGGCAAATCCTCTTCCCAAACCAATGTGGGACAAAAGCTCACTTTTTCCCTTCATTTTCCAACTCAAATGGGTCTACTTTGAGAATCAATATATCATTCACCCATTATCCGTTTTGAGCGTACAATATATCAATCTCTTCGTCTCACTACGAAGAACCCGAATCCACTTTGACCCGACCCAAATCGGAAGTGGACCCCACTGATAATTGTACCACAAAATAGCCACTTAATATGCCATTTTATGCCATTTTAAGCTATTTTTTCCAACATTAGGTTCTTATTTTTGTAAGTTTGTGTATGGAAAACGCAAAGTAGAGGGTATTAAATACATAAAATGATGATTAAAAAAGTTATCTTGTGAGCTTGAGACATTAGATTGTCCTGTTAATTGCAATTTTCAAATAGTGTTTTTCATTCGTTAAACTTCAACTAAATGTATAGAGTTCATCATTTGTTAAGCTGTTAGGCAATCTTGATTTTCAGGTTAGCTTTTCTGCTTTGAGAGACCATGGTGAACAGAAAAGGAAGAGAGGCAAGAGTGGTGGTGGGAGAGCCTCCAAGAAGAGTGTGAGGGCCATCTAAAAAAGCTACTAGAAGAAGTGTTGCCACTGCTGAAATTTTTAGGCTAGATTCCAAAATTGTTTTCTGTATATTTTGTTATTCTTTTGTTTTTTATTTTTTTTTACAAAATTTTGTAATGATCATGAGACAACTTGTTCTTATTGTCTTTGTAAAGTAAACATGTATTAGATCGGTTATGAAGTTATATAAAATGACAGTGGTTTGAACAATTGACCAATTAAACATGTATTGTTTTGAGCATTTGTGAATTTAAATGATTGTGGTTGAGTTGTTAATGTAATGGTTTTTATTTGTGTTGTAATGGTCTATGTATGTGTTGTAATGGTCTGTGTTGTTAATGGTATGTTCAGATTGTAAGACAGCCACTCTTCAAAAGCTGAGACCATAGTAGTGTTTGTGATACCATTCCTAGGAACCTAATTTGCTAATGGAACCAATGTTCAAATGGAATCTAATTTGCTTGCATATTCTTGTCATTTTGTCTGGAAATTCCCTGTTTTTGGATATCATAACAGTCACTTTAGATATTGATGATATATAATAAGGAAGGATAAGGAACTTAAATTAATAGATGTCTTGACAGTACATTCATCATCATTCATCCCATGGACCATAGTATTCACAATATGAAATAAATGAATGCATTAACTTACACTGCCATCTGACAGCAAAATTCACCGATCACCACCATAAATTTAACAAAATTCACTATAGAGATAGTCTTGCTTGAATAAGTATTTTGACAGCAAAAATCACAGCAGATATGATCCTATTTCAATTAGTATTTTGACAGCAAAATAACAATAGGTGGATTCAATAACAACAAAATTCACAATAGGTGGCTTGATCATATCCTTGTTCACTAATTATTTTGACTCCACTCTAGATCTTCCAGAGAAAATACAGTAGTTGGATCATATCCTGCTTCAATAAGTATGTTGTTCGCTTCTTGTGCTTCAATAGTAGGATTGACTCCATCTTCAGTAGGTGGCAATTCCACCTGCACATGCACTGGATCCCCAACTTTTTTTCTTGGCTTCATCTAACCCAAAGGGAAACAAAAAACATGTGAATGAGGGAAATTATGATAATTAACCCAAAAAAAAAAATAGAATAAGTATCAAACCTGTTTTTCCTTGCTTTGTGTGTTTAGAGGACATCTTCTAGAGTTGTGCCCGGATTGTCTACACTTGCTACAATGCAATTTTATCCAAGTTCTTGCCACATGTTCTCCATCATTGTTTATCTCATCAGTAGACCTTTTCCTCAATTTCTTTGGTCTGCCAGGTTTAGCTTTATAAACAGGGGGTAAAGGTGGAGCTATGTCAACCACTGGCCATTCACTTACACCTGCCATAGGATGAATTGATTCTTCATAGATTTGTAAATATCTTGCCTTTGTATAACAAGGCCGGATTGACATAGGCATAAACATGACCTTCCCCATGCTTCATCCAAATGGCACAAATGGCATGTTTGCAAGGCAATCCAGTTAAATCCCATCTTCTATAAGTACAAGATCTTAGTTCCAAATTCACAGACTGTTGGTCTCCATAAAAACCTTGTATCTCAAACTCATGTAGACCACACTGAAATCCTCTATACCTAGCAGCTTGCTTCTCATAAACCTTCAACTTTTCTAGCACTCTAGGACAAATTTCAGAACTCCATTCTTTAACTTTATGATAAGAATAAAAAAACCTAGTCATCAATAAATGCCTCATACCTTCTAGGCCTATAATGGGTAGAAAAAATGGCTGTCAATTTTTTTAATCAAATGAATGGCTCAGATTGATCAGATTTTAATTTTTCCTTAAGATTTTTTAATTTATCCTTAATGAATATGATTATCCATTAAATTTTTCGTTAAATATTATCTTTTTCCGTTATTTATGTTAGTTCACCGTTAACTTAAATAAGCACCTTAAAGTATATCAAGGCAAGATTATATTGGAATTGTTTATGCATAGATAATTGAATGTTGAATTTGCATATTTAAATAGGTAATTCTAAGTTTACACATACAAGATAATATAGTCAAGATTGATTATAATTGTCAATAAAATAATTGTATAGGTATGGTTGAAACCAAATACGGGACATAAGGGAGAGCAAATAAAAATTACGGCATAAAATATTAAATATATACTAATATTGAAGAACTAACTACTGATTGCCAAATAAGGACATTGTAATAGAGCTAGTAGCATTAAAAAAAATTACTGATTGTCAAATAAGGACATTGCGAGGTAGTTTCTCACTTCAATTTGTTGTGTGATTTGAATAATCTTTTTGTCAATAAATCGTTCAAGTAATTAATATGATTGACTTAATTATATTTTTTTATTTTTTAAAAACATTTATTATTATTATTATTATTATTATTATTATTATTATTATTATTATTATTATTATTATTATTATTATTATTATTATTATTATTATTATTATATATACCCTTAGGTCATTTTACATGTTAATCTAAAAAGCTAATTTTTTCAAATATTTTTTTACCAATCATTGATATAATTCACTGGTCAAATCTGCTAATATAATTCACAAACTGCTGATTGTCAAACAAGGACATTGCGAGATAGTTCTCACTTCAATTTGTTGTGTGATTTGAATACTCTTTTTGTCAACAAATTCCTCAAGTAGTTAATATGATTGGCTTTATTAATTATATATTTTTTAATTTTTTTCATGGTATTAATAAAATACTTAATAAATAAATATATAACATTATTTTGTATTATAACTTTGATATTTAATTAAAAAAATAATGCACAAAAAATAATAATAGACAATGTAGTGAATACAATCAATTGATGAATTTGAATGTAAAGAATTTTTACATTGGATAAAAATAAAGACAACATAATTAATAAAATTATTTTTCTTAATTAATTTATTGGTAATGAATAATTTTTTTTTTTAATAAAGACATTATAGGGACAATGTAGCGAATATAATCAATTGATGAATTCTAATGTAAAGAATTTTTATATTGGAAAAAAATAAAGACAATATAACTAATGAAATTATTTCTCTTATTTAATTTATTGATAATGAATAATTTTTTTTGAATAAAGACATTGTAGACACATAATTCTACATTAAAGAAATGCATATGTATTATTTTTTATTGTAGTTACTAAATTATTATTATTATTATTTAATTTAATACGAGTAAAATAGAGTACTAATTATGTCAACTTTGATTGGGATGGAGTTTGAACCTAAGACCTTTCTTATTGAAATCAATGAGTAAGTTAACGGTGTTGAACTAACAGAAATTAACGGAAAAAATAATATTTAACGGAAAAGTTAACGGATAATCATATTCATTAAGGATAAATTAGGAAATCTTAAAGAAAAATTAAAGTCTGATCAATCTGAGCCATTCATTTGATTAAAAAATTTGACCGTCATTTTTCTACCCATTATAGGCCTAACTCTTTTGGGCTCTTATTAGTATACTAGTTTTTTACGCACATTGCATGATTGGGATAATGTCCAATGTTTTTTTTTTTTTAAATAAGTACTTTAAAATATATTATATTGGAATTGTTAATGTATAAATAATTGAATGTTGAATTTGCGTATTTAAATAGGTAATTCTAAGTTTACAAATGCAAGATAATATAGTCAAGATTGATTATAATTGTCAATAAAATAATTGTATAGGTATGGTTGAAACCAAATACGGGACATAAGGGAGAGCAAATAAAAATTACGGCATAAAATATTAAATATATACTAATATTGAAGAGCTAACTGCTGATTGCCAAACAAGCTAGGACATTGCGAGGTAGTTTTCCACTTCAATTTGTTTTGTGATTTGATACTCTTTTTGTCAATAAAGCCCCAAGTAATTAATACGATTGGCTTAATTATATATTTTTTATTTTTTTAAAACAATTATTATTATTATTATTATTATTATTATTATTATTATTATTATTATTATTATTATTATTATTATTATTATTATTATTATTATTATTATTATTATTATTATTATTATTATTAAATATATGTATATCCTTAGGTCATTTTACATGTTAATCTAAACAGATAATTTTTTGAAATATCTTTTTACCAACCGTTGATATAATTCGTTGGTCAAATCCGTTAACGGTAATCTCTAACTGCTGATTGTCAAACAAGGACATTACAAGATAGTTCTCACTTCAATTTGTTGTGTGATTTGAATACTTTCTTTGTCAACAAATCCCTTAAGTAGTTAATATGATTGACTTTATTAATTATATTTTTTAAATGTTTTCATGGTATTAATAAAATACTTGGTAAATAAATATATAGCATTATTTTGTATTATAACTTTGATATTTAATTAAAAAAGTAGTGCACAAAAAAGATAATAGACAATGTAGTGAATATAATCAATTGATAAATTTGAATGTAAAGGATTTTTACATTAGAGAAAAATAAAGACAATATAACTAATAAATTAATTTATTGATAATGAATAATTTTTTTTAATAAAGACGTTGTAGGGACAATGTAGCGAATATAATCAATTGATGAATTTGAATGTAAAGAATTTTTATATTGGAGAAAAATAAAGACAATATAACTAATGAAATTATTTCTCTTATTTAATTTATTGATAATGAATAATTTTTTTTGAATAAAGACATTGTAGACACATAATTCTAAATTAAAGAAATGCATATGTATTATTTTTTTATTGTAGTTACTAAATTATTATTTAATTTAATAAGAGTAAAATAGAGTACTAATTATGCCAACATTGATTGGGATGGAGTTTGAACCTAAGACCTTTCTTATTGAAATCAATGAGTAAGTTAACGGTGAACTAACAGAAATTAACGGAAAAGATAATATTTAACGGAAAAGTTAACGGATAATCATATTCATTAAGGATAAATTAGGAAATCTTAAGGAAAAATTAAAATCTGATCAATATGAGCCATTCATTTGATTAAAAAATTTGACCGTCATTTTTTCTTCACATTATAGCCCTAACTCTCTTGGGCTCTTATTAGTATAGTAGATAGTAGATAGTAGATAGTAGATATAGTAGATATAATACTTGCCATTAGAAGGAACGAGATTTTCCTATCAATCTATCATTGTTGCCAAACAATATAATTTCCTATCATATATTGTTACAGTTTTCTTGGTAAATGTTTTAGTTTTCAAGACCATATGCATACATTTG